TTTTCACTATTAACCTTTTGTAATACATACCTTAAGTGTACATGGTAACACGCCGCAAATTGTGATGCATCCGAACGTAGACAACTGTAACCCACGAGCAGATTGTACTTCTGTTTGTACAACTGACCGATCTCGGGGGAGGGCACAGGGAATTTGAAACCCCTTCCTGCCATTAGACTTCTCTGTTTTTCAGACTACTTATCTGAAACCAAGTTTTTTTCAACTACACAATAAGAATTAAATCCTGAAATATCTGTTAGGTTATTTAGGCTCTAGTGGGAAATGAAAAATAAAAATTGAGCTCCCCCCCATCTTTAATATCTTTGATCTGCTCTGTTGAACATTGTCAGTTTATGATGCCTGCCGTTCACAAAAACTCTGAAAAGAACGATGACTCGTCTAATCTCTGTTCGAACTAAAACTACGTTATGGATTTTTTTGCACTGAAAACTACTTGCAAATCATGACTACGTATTTTGACCCAAGAAAGTTCCGGGCGTGAATTTTCTCTTAGGACTCGGAAAAAAGGAACATACAGCAGTTTCACTACGTCACTTGGCCAGACAAAGGTGTCCCACACCATTCGACAGCTCTACTTGGATTTCGACAGAAGATTCATGCCAGACACCAGGCTACCGGAGGACCACTTCTGGTACACTGCAGGTAAATAGAATGGCAATATTTGAAGACTTCAATTGAAAAGCTTCATATTTACAAACTTTCATTTTTGGGGGGTAATGGTTCTTCTGCAGATTTTCCAATTAAGACTCTTCTCTTGAACGGACAGCCTTAAAAATATTTCTTGATATAATTCCTTTGGTGTCAATGACCAAGGCCCTCCATCAACCAACCCTTTACCCTCGAGAGTCGTCCAATCCTGCTTAAAATGACTAATAGCTCTAGCAGCGCTTTTAGTTAGCTTTCATGAAACCAAAACCAAAACAATGCTAAAGACCAATGCAAAGAAGCTTAACGTCAGTAAGGAACAAATGAGGGCTCAAAGTAAAAGGAAGGAGACTGCGTAAATTCAAGTTACTTTGTTGTGTTTAATCGGTGCGATTTTTCCATACCCGGGCTTTAAAAGGGTTTGTTGTTATCGTTTTCTCTTCTCTTCGTTAATTATTAATTATTGTTGATGTTGTTTCCCTTTTGCAGTGCTGGTGTTGGTCGAACGGGCACATACATAGCTATTGACGCCATGTTGGAGGGTGCTGAAAAGATCAAAACTGTGTTTATACAGAATTACGTGCAAGTCATGCGTAGATCTCGCCCTCATATGGTGCAGAAAGATGTAAGTTAACAAATTCAACTATTTTCCATAAGAAAAACAGCTGCATAGGTCCTATTTACTCTAAGCTTAGTTAAA